CCACCCAGGCCACCCTCCTAGAGCCCCCCCACAAATTGACCTCGCTGGGCCTGCTTTTATGAAAGGTTTATTCCTAGTGCTAGATCCCAATCTTCTTGGGCTCTAAGCACAATTAAACTGGGTGGGTGGGTGAGGGTAGGCCTATTCAGATGCAAGGCCAGCAATGGGGCTCCCCATTATCCCCACCCCTTTGGTCCCAGTCCCCTTCTCTGCAATGGGCACGCATAGAGGAGAGACAAAGGGTATTGGATGCAACATCATTGGTCCAGGGGAGCCCAAGAAGAGCTGCCATTGGCTGACAGGGCATTTTGAGGCTCTGCCATTGGTCAGGGGGCACACCCCTGCCTGAGGAGTGATGCCATTGGCCAGGGAGTGGTTTTGTCATAGCCGTTGGCTGTGGAGTGGAAGGAAGAGATCTGGGAATGAAGCCCTGTGGCCAGAAAGATAGGGCAGCAGCTTCTGGGCCTGCAGGCCCTCTTCCCACCATAGCAACGTGGGCAAAACTGGTGTCAGGCCCCAGCCAGAAAAAGGAGCCCAAGCTAGAGGGCAAGTGACAAGGGATGTCCCATGTCCAATCTCCCACACACCCTGGGGCTGCCCTTCCCAATGTCCTTCTTGATAGCCAAGTTGGGCTGGGAGCAGCTCACTGCTCCTCTAGCCAGGAGGGTTTCTCAGCTCCTGGAGGCCGCAGCTTGATGTTGAACTGCTGCAGGGTCTGCTCCAGCTGTTTCTGGTTCCCAGCAAAGTAGGCGGACACGGCATTGTGGAAGAGCAGCAGCTGCTTGTGCATCACCTTGATCTGGGGGTCCAGCAGGGTCAGCTAAGGCTGGACTCAGGCGCCCTTCTTGAGGGTCTATGAGCCTGAGCCCAGGCACAGACCAGGGGCACAAGGACTCTGCTCTGAGGGTGCTTTTGGGCTAAGGGCTGAATTCTACCCAGGGAGTCAAAGGAGAAGGGTCAGTCTGATGGAAGAAACCTCACTTGATTTGTTGAGCCTAGGGTTTTGGTACCCCAGCTGAGGGGGTGATTTTTCCCAGTAATGTTCCTGGGACCAGCAGCCAAATCCTCCAATAGGAAAGGGCCAGGAATTGGAGGAAGGGTGATCTGAAAAGGCCCAGGGGTCGAGAGGGGGCTGAGGGGGTAACATTCTACTCCCTAGCTAGGCTGCATTTCCCCATTCAATATGGGGAGGGTCTGAGGGGAAGGTTAGTGTCACAGATGGAAAGGTGGGCTAGGGTCAAGGAGGGTGGGGTTGGCACCTTGTTTTCTTCCAGGAACTTGAGCTTGATGGCCACATCTCCCCGCAGCTTCTCATACTTGTCCCGATGGGCCTGGAAAGTGGCCTGGGCACTCTCGAGTCGACCACGTGTCCCTGCATCCCGGGGGCCTAGGCTCAGCTCCTCTAAGTCTGTTCGGTAGGCATCATATTCCAGCCTGTGGAGGGGGTGATACAGGCTGGTCTCCACCCCTTTGTCTTCAACACATACTCTTCCTTCCTGAATTCTTATGCCCCTAATGCCCAAATTTCCTCCCATGCTAGCCAACTCCCCAAGCCCTGCCAGTGCCCACACCTGGCAGCCTCATACTGTTTCACAGTCATGAGCGTGTCTTCCATGGTCTTGGTGACCAATGTGTTGATGCTAGAGACAAAGAAGTTCACGGCTCCTAGCAGCGTTTCCCCATTCTTGCATAGCAGTTTCTGTGTCTCTGCATTGTAGCCAAATTCCTCCTGAGGGCAGAAGGGAGGAACAGGCCTTCAATAACACTCCCTACCAGACTGGAGCTGTAGAGCCCTTCATTCCCCACCTCCCCAGGGAGGAAACAGCCAGCAAAACTGGAACAACCAAGGACTGCCTCCAGCAAGGCTCTCTTAGCCAGAAAGTTAGTGGGGTCACCCTGGGGATACCTGGGGTAGGAATGTGGGTGGTGGGCATTCTTGGATAAGTTCACAAGACTGGAACAGTCTGAGAGCTAGTGTGGCAGGCAGGGGAGGGGTAGGTTAGCACTGAAGGCATTCTCTCCAATGCAGAGAGGGGTTATTTGTGAGGCACCTAGTGTGCCCCCTCCCCCACCCCCTCCTTCTGGACCTCTGTACAAACCCTTAGGCTGCCTCCATAGGTGAGTGCTGCTGGGGGTAGGGCTGGGCCCACCCTGAAGGGGTTCTCCCTGTGGGCTGCAGGAGGGAGGGAGGATGAGGAATGACTGCCTGAGAGGGCCCGTGCCCAGTTCCCCCACCCTCTTTGGTCTGGCTGAGGCACCTGAAGCTCTGGGGACTTCTGGCTGAGGTCAGCAAAGGCATCACCCAGTGCATGCTGGGTCTGCAGCAGGCTGTAGAGGTGGGCTGTCAGTGCCCGGCCCAGCTGCAGGACACTCTCATACTTGCGCTTCGTCTCACGTAGCAACTCAATCTGTAGCTCTAGCTCCAGGTCCACAGTCCGTGAGCCTCGACCAAATCGTTCTGATAATAGTTGCTTTGTGCACTGATTGGGAAATGGGGGAATTGGTCAGAGACCCTAACAGCCTCCCCACACAACAATTATCTATCCCAGCACCCCCAGGCTCCTACTCTGAGTCGCAGATGAGGTACTACGATCATGAGAAAAATGGAAAAAAGGTACCCATAAGGAGTTTTGGGGAAGGGAGAGGTGCTTAAATCCTACCTTATAGGTGTTGATGCCCCATTTCTTGACAATGTCGAACTTCTCTCCAGCGATGCCCCGAGCCACCTCATCTCCAGGGCCAGCAGGAGTGGTGCTGTGAGACGGATGGCGGCCAGACCCTAAAGGATCAAGTTCTCTGACGCCAGCCTCTCTTAGATACATGACACCTCTGTGGCCCCACCCTTACTTCTCTCCCAGTGCATGAAATTGACTTCCCTGAAGGAAATGCTAGAGACAACTGGATTCTACTGCTTACTAGGAAGAACTCGAATCTTGCACGGTGAGAACCAAACCCTGATATATATATGACTTCCTTAGGGGTTGGAGGAGGGGTTTGCAGGGAGTTGCTGGTATACGGGGCAGAGGAAACAGAAGAAAATACACCGACTTTGGGGGTAGCAGGAGTAAAGGATGGTGGATAATAACAAGAAACCTGGTTGCATTCCCATGTGGAATCTTAGTGTGAGATTCAGGGCTGTTTGTTCCTCTAAACTTTAGAATCTAAAGTAAAATTCTGAGAAGCCTCACAAAGTTCCAACTCAGCCTCAAGCTGTAGAGTAGGGCATTCCTGTGAAGTAGGTCTTAACTTTGCTCAGGTGGTGGCAGGGAAAGGACAAATGAGCCATTTCAGGGGCCAAGTGCCAAAAGGGAAGTAGATGGACAATGCTGGGAGTTGCTCTTGGGCTGAGAGTCCATGGAGCTCATACAAGCAGAAGTTCCCAAAATCTCTAGACATAATTTAAGCTTTCCTTGACATATCCTATGCTTCCCCAAACCATTCCTGTCCCCTCCTCCACCCAAGCTTCCTGTTTCTGAACATTCATACCTGTGGGGATGAGTCCATCACCAGAGCCCCCATAGCCACCAGACACAATGCTGGTTTCATTGAGGTTGGGTCCTGACACCATCACCTGCTGGAGGTCCTATAGGCCAGAGAAGAGGAGTTGCTTCAGGAACACAGGTGGAGCAGAAGCATTTTGGAGGTAGGAACAAGTTTGGATTCAAGCATCATAAAGACAGTATACAAGGGAACTCTGCACAGAATCAGAATGATATGTAAAAAGAATGGAGTCAGATTAAGTCAGGGGAAGGCTATTGGAATGGGGGGCGGTGAGAACCCAGGGCTTAGGAATTGGATTCCTAAATTGAAACAATTAGAAGAATCAAACAGAAGCACCTGCTCCAGCCCATCATCTTCAGGAAGCTGCCTGGCTTCGCCGTTCCCGTGGATAGGGATCTCCATTGTGGCTGCCTTCCCTAGGATCCCGTCCGTCATGGCGAGGGAGGGTATTGGAGTAAAACTCTCCACCCCAGCAGCCTGCAAAGCCCAACACAGAAGTTCTGGACACCGGCCAGCACTCTAGAAGAAGGAGGCCTCCTCTGTCACTTCTGAGGTTTTAAAGGCTGTCCCAGGGTTTGAGTGTCCCAGCGTTTGGCCACCATTCCTTTCTTCAGGTGTATGTATTTCTCCGCTCCAAAATGCACATGTGTACACAGGCATACCAAACCACTGTGTCTCCTCACAAACCCCCAACCTCACCAGGTCTCTGGTGATTATTCATATACTCATTCAGTCAGTCAGCAGACATTTAGTGGGTGCCTACTATGTGTCAGACACTATTTCTAACAATTAAAATACAACTGTGAAGAGGGAAAGTCCGCTCTCTTAGAACGTATCTCCATGCAGGCGTGCTTATGCTGAGCAGGAGCCGAACCCTTTCCAGGGTTCAGGTCTTCACCCTCCCCCTCCACCCCCCGCCCAATTCAGGCTTGTTCTCCATTGCTTGGCCTTTCACACTCCTTTAGTGTTTCTTCCCCCTTCCTTCAGGGGGTCTCCCCCTCCTCTGTCTCATGCACCTCCTCTTTCTCGGGCCCTCCCCACCAGGCCTTAGTTAGATCAGTTGGTGTATGTTCCCAGTCTCTGGTAAAAGCCTCTCTTTCCCAGGATAGCGGTGATCCCTTCCACAGTTTTGTCTCCCAGGTGTGTGAGTCCCCGCCCCCACCCCATACACCTGGACATCAGGTATGTCTTCACCCTTCCCCAGGGCTCGGGCATCTTGCTCTCTGGACAGGTTTGTGCGTTCAACTTCCCGTCGCCCAAGCATGACCCTCTCACCTCGGGCCGGGCCGCTCTTCCCCTCAGGGCGCCAGGCCCGGGCCGCGCGGGGACCTCGGGCTCCAGTTCCCGTCGCGATCCTAGCAGCAGGTCAGGGACTCGGCGGAAGTGACGTCCTCTCCGGGCAGAAGAAGCCGGCCACGTCGCAGATTATAAGGGCGGAGGTGACGTCGTAGCCGGGGGCAGGGCGATACTCTAGCTAGTTCTCGAGAGCGGCAAGAGGTTACTTCCGGGGCGGCACCGAGAAGCTGAAACGGAAGTGGCGTAGGGCATGCGCCGGTGGCGTGATGGAGCAGCCGCCTCAGCAACAACAGCAACTTAGAAACGTGAGTGAGAACTAAGTCGTTTCGGGGCCAGTCGTTCAGCTTGCATTCCTGCGCACATCGCGGGAACCCCATGGAGCCAGGGATTTGAGGGCTGGAAACATCGGGCTATGGTGCGCGGGCCTGGGAAACTTCGGGCGGCGAGACCTTGAGTAGAAGTGTGGTCTCCCTTTTCTCCCAGCTGCGTGACTTCCTGTTGGTCTACAATCGGATGACAGAACTCTGCTTCCAGCGCTGTGTGCCCAGCTTACACCATCGAGCTCTGGACGCTGAGGAGGTGGGGAACTGTGTAGGGAGGTTACGCTGCAAATAGTTTAGCGGTAGACTGCTTCCCTCCTCTCCCCACCTTCCCTACCTCTGCCCCTGGCCTTTTCCACGACTCTCACCCGTAGGCTGGGCATGGGGAAGGAAGGAGGCGGGCCTGACAGGACAGACAACTTTACCCTCCACTTAAACCCTGTCTTCCTTCTAGGAGGCCTGTCTGCACAGCTGTGCTGGGAAGCTGATCCATTCCAACCACCGCCTCATGGCCGCTTACGTGCAGCTCATGCCCGCCCTGGTACAGCGCCGCATCGCAGACTACGAGGCTGCCTCGGCTGTGCCAGGCGTTGCTGCTGAACAGCCTGGGGTCTCTCCATCAGGCAGCTAGCCATCCCCAACCCGTGGAGGGAAGGCCCTGGACGGACTTCTCTGATTGAAGGACCCCAGTGGACCTTGGGGTTGGTGAATCCTATACAGAGAGAATTCGAGGTTGCCTGAAAGCTGGGTGTCCTTGCTCCTTTTCCTGGAGCCAATAAACCCGCTTTTTATTCTGTTCGATTTATATTCTGGGCAAGGAAACTTTGCCTACTTAATTGGCACAACCCTTTGTTCTGTACATATCCGCTGGCTTCAGCCTTGGCAGCTGAGGAATTTTCTTCTATATGTAGAAGGAAAACCTGAGCATTTGTAGGCATCTGGTTAAAGCAGTCTCTGTGTGTACAGTTTTAAAATGGGTCATGCTTTACCTTAGTTCATCTTTACAACAAAACTATGAGTAAGTGGTATTAGCCTCATTTAACAGATGAGGAAGCAAGAATCCAGAATGTACCAGAAGGCCAATTTATACATCAAGAAATTGGTTCCTGCCCAGATGACAGGAAATGGGAGCTCTGTCTAGTTGTCCTTAAGTCTGACTGACTTCAGTGGCTCATAATCGTGAGCCAAGTATTTGTTGGTTCATAACTGTTTTGTGAACTATGTCTTACATGTCTAAAATTCTGCTGGATCTAGGAAAGGAGAAGCTATCTAAGTACAACCGGTCAAAAAAACCACAGGGCTTTTGGGTACTGCCTCCTTGAGACTGGCCACAGAAGAGAAATGAAACCTGTAAGAAGTCTGGGGTCTTTTGAAACTTCTGCCATTTCCCCAGCTTGTTACTTTCTTAGTATTTACAGTCTTCCCAGGATGAGCAGTAAAACCTTTGAACAAAGAAGTCTGCTTGTCTTCAGGGGCAATCAGTAAGGGAGAAAGTTGGGCACATATTCTGCAATACAGCCAGATCTGAGGGAGAGAAACTGAAGGGCTAAAGGGACAGGTAGATGGCAGTCGTGATAAAAAGGATAAAACTAAATATTTGGGAATTCTTCGTTAATGCTACCTTAATGTTTCACTGCTTGTCTAGAATCTCCTAATTCCAGCTTTCTATCATCTGCCCCATATTGGTCCCATGGAAATCTGTGATTTCTAATTCCAGCCTCTCCATTCTTTTCTCATTATTGCCTCCCCCGCCTCCCACCTTTGTGTGATTTACTTCTGTATTCAGCAGCCTGAATAGCATACCATTCCATCACCCTATTTTCTTGCCACCATTGGCCATCTTTTTGTATCATTCTACTTATTCTCTTTTCTGTTCCTCCAAACTACTAGAGTAAAACAGTTGTGTAATGAATGCCACTGAATATTCAAGGCCTCCAACCTCAGCCAAGTCCTCACATCTACACGCAGTCCTTTACCTTTATGGGTTCCTGGTCCATTTCCTTCTCTAATTACCATGGCAGTTTTTTTTTATACCTTCACTGTTGTCCTTAATTGCATACCCCACCCTCATCAAGTGACCCCGTTTCTTTTTTTAAAGGAATTGAAGCTCTGAGACATTGGTTCCACAATAATAAATTTTAAAATTTCTTACAACTACCCACAAAGCAGATATTCTATCCTATCTACAGAGCAGAAAATTGAAATTATCAAGTAGCAAGCCCAGTATTAAAGTGCAGATCTGACTTTAAAGTCCATGTTCGTTTTACACACCAGGCTGCCTCTTAAGATAGTATTTATTGAGCACCCACTTTGTATAGGTTGTGATTTTGGTAGATGTCATGTTTTATCTAATCTTTATAATGCAACTATAAGAGGTATTAGCCTCACTTAACAGATGAGCAAGCAACAATCCAGAATGTGCCAGAAGACCCTTTTATAGACAGTTCTTGTTTTTGTTTTTGAGATGGAGTCTCGCTCTGTTGCCCAGGCTGGAGTGCAGTGATGCTATCTTGGTTCACTGCAACTTCTGCCTCCTGGGTTCAAGCAGTTCTCCTGCCTCAGCCTTCCAAGTAGGCTGGGATTACAGGCATGCACCACCATGCCCGGCTAATTTTTTTGTATTTTTAGTAGAGACGGGTTTCACCACATTGGCTGAGCTGCTGTCTATCTCCTGACCTTGTGATATGCCTACCTTGGCCTCCAAAGTCCTGGGATTACAGGCGTGAGCCAACGTGTCCAGTCCATATACAGTTTCTTATTGAGAAAAAATAGTTCCAGTCATATTTTTTGCCCCTTTTAGCTGCCATCTCTTATAGAAAAGTTTGGATGGTAAAAGTTGCTGACCAAGACCTTACCCATGGAGTTGCTTTCTATTTAATGAAATTTCTGTCCTTGGGAAATATAAATGCAAGTAAAACAGGTTGTGAACTTCTTAACTTCCAGAAGACAGGAGGATGGGACCTGTGATACTGTGCTGCCAGTGGGAGGACTCCCACATCAACATTTGTGTGTATCCTTGCAATAAACTTCCATTGTGAATATTTGTGCTTCTCGTCTTTCCATGTCATATGATAGTAATTGCTTAAGAAGAACTAGGAACATAGATCTGTCTGACTCTAAAGCCTTTGTTCTTTGGACTTTGAGAGCTTCTATCTACAAGCTCATTTGTACTTAACCTGCCTCTAGGCATGAAAAAGCAAATGTCCCTCAACCTGACCCATCAGTTAATCCCTTAAAATTTCAATCTCTTTTGTCCTGGTTCTTCCCTGTTTATAAATAAGTTCACATGTAGGAGAAAAACCTTATTCCTACCACTCTGCCTTGCATATAATCTGGTCTTCCTCAGGTCTTGCCATAAAGTGATAGCCATTGGCATAAATGATCATCTTTTCTGCTTTACAGTTAAACTTCTCAAAACAGTTGGATAGTTTGGGCTTCTTCATCCTATAGGTCATTTTCCATTTCCATTCCACAACCCAGTTCATTTTGACTTCTGCAACCCTCATTCTATTGAAATGGTTCTAAGGTCATCTTGATGATGACCTTCCAATCTTGAATCCAGTATGTAGCTATTTCTCAGTCCTCACTACCTCGCTTCTCAGTAGCATTTGGTAAAATTTTCTAGTTTCTTATCACTGATACTCTTCCATTGGTGAATGATTCTACTTTTATGGTTTTACTACTACCTCTTTGACCATAGCTTCTTAGCCTCCTTTGCAGGCTCATCCTCCTTCTAGCCTTTAAATCTAAGAGTTTCTTTAGGTCCTGTTCTTCTCAGACTAATTTTTCTAAGACAGTTTCATCCCCACTCTGAACTTTAGTTCCTGATGACTTCCAGATCTCCTCCAAGCTATTTGACATCTCCACTTAGGTATCTCAAAAACATCCCAAACTCAATATGTTTCCTAATAAACTATCCTGTGCCTGGTACTCATCATCCAGTTGCAGAAGCTCAAAGGCATTTCCCTTTTTCTCCTGTCACTCAATTGCCAAATCTTACCAGTTTACATTTCTAAATATCCCTTGGTTCTCACTACCTTTCTCCACCTTCACCATGATCTCCCACCAGGATTATTGCAGTTGCTGCTGCTTCCTATACCCACTTTCATATCCCTTCAATCTATTCTTCACTTATAAGCCATAAAATACAAAGTAATGCCTAACCATTGCAATAGCTTCCCATTCTTAGGATAAAAACTGAGATTCTAAATATGACCTGCAATGCCCTCCATGATCCAGCCTCTGCCTACTCCCAGACTTATCAGTAAATATCAAACACTGGACTGCCAGTACTGTTTGCTGAATTGATTCAAGTCACACTTCACTGTTTCCCTCTGTCTTGTGCTCTAGCCACACTGGCCTTCTTTCACTTTCTCTAACTTGTCATGTACTGTTTGATCTCAAGGCCTTTGTATGTGCCGTTTCCTGGCTTACAATGCTTTCCCCCTTTATCTACTTCTTGTGCTTGAGATCCTAGTTATTACTTCCTCAAAGCACTTCCCCAGACTCCAGCTCCCATAATCCCTCATACTTTTGGTGTATCACACTTTTTTCAGTATGTTTTTCAAGTTTTACTTTGAAGTATGTTAATTACAGCATTTGAAAAGGAGGAGCTAATTTCACACAAAATAGAAGACTCTAAAATATACCCATTAAACGGCTAAAAAATAAATTCAGTGGTGAGAATACAACAGAAGTCCAATTTAGATTCTGAGTATTGTCACCATGTGTTTCTTCAAGCTTATATCTGGAGCTCCTGGAAGCCATTTCGTACTCTGATGGAGGGGCACAAAATCGCAGCATGAGAAGGAAGGAATTCCTGGATTACTGGCTTCATCACATCCACCCTCCACCCCAAAATGGCACAAAAGAAACAATTACCACACCCTGAAGGCCTTTTGGTTTAAAAGAGGTGTTGATTAACTGGGTTGGAAAAAGGTCATAAAGATCTGTCTAAGAGTCCCTTTCTTTTTTTTTTTTTTTGAGACGGAGTTTCACTCTTGTTACCCAGGCTGGAGTGCAATGGCACGGTCTCGGCTCACCGCAACCTCCGCCTCCTGGGTTCAAGCAATTTCTCCTGCCTCAGCCTCCTGAGTAGCTGGAATTACAGGCACACGCCACCATGCCCAGCTAATTTTTAGTATTTGTAGTAGAGACGGGGTTTCACCATGTTGACCAGGATGGTCTCGATCTCTTGACCTCGTGATCCACCCACCTCGGCCTCCCAAAGTACTGGGATTACAGGCTTGAGCCACCGCGCCCGGCCTAAGAGTCCCTTTCAAGTGAGTTTGCACACACCATCAAGCAATGAGCCTCTCGTTAATTAGGGCTAGGAAACGAAGGTTTGATTCTTAGGAAGTCACAATTTCATTCACTCAATATGATTTACAAAATGCCTACATATCAGCTTCCATGTGCAGTCATTTCTAGATAAAAAAGAAACCTGGCATTTCTAGAAGGGCCACCAAGTTCCCCTTCCAAGTGTGTAGCTGAAAGGACCGTTTTTGGAACTGGGTTTCTTTTATACCTCTGAAAGGGTAACACTTTAAAGCTGAATTATCTTTAGGCTGGAAATTTAACATCTTTAGCCTGTAAATCTAACATTTAGCAATGCTTGCATCCCAGACATACAGCAAAAGAGACAAATTCAGAAGGTAGCTCTGCTGCAAAATAATATAAAAGTTGTACAGTATTTATGCTCGAAATTTCAGTTCCAAACCTAGCATGTGGCCACTGGCATTGTCATTCTTGCCATCTAGGACAGTTGACAGTGTCATTTTGATACCTGGCTTTAGGGTCTCAGTGTATTCTAAACCTATCAGGTTAGAGTTGTTCACTTAGTCAAGAAGCAGGTGTCAGGGTTGATCAGATACTTGGATATTCCAAAGTGAGTATTTGTATTAGTCTGTTTTTACACTGCTGATAAAGATATACCTGAGACTGGGTAATTTATAAAGGAAAAGGGTTAATGGATTCACAGTTCCACGTGGCTGGAGAGGCCTCACCATTATGGTGGAAGGCAAAAGGCACATCTTACATGGTGGCAGGCAAGAGAGAAAATGAGAGCCAAGTGAAAGGAGTTTCCCTTTATAAAACCATCAGATCTCATGAGACATTCACTACCACAAGAACAGTATGAGGGAAACTGCCTTTGTGATTTAATTGTCTGCCACCAGGTTCCTTCCCCAGCACATAGGAATTATAGGAGCTATAATTCAAAATTAGATTTTGGTGGGGACACAGCCAAACCATATCAGTGTTACTGTTTCCTGCTGTCCAGGTGAAATTGACAGTGGTCTCCACCTTCTTATTCACCTTCTGTTAAATGGAGCCACCAAACTGTCCTATTATTCACATTATTGTGAAATTGAATTCATCAGCCTTGTAGCCAATTGCAAAGTTGCTCTAGGTCATTCAGGATTTTGCAGTCTCAAAATTTACCTGGTAGCCAGCCAACCCTTGTAACCCAGCACCAGGGTGCCCCAGATTGAAGGCCCAGCGATGTCAAAATCCAGGTTACAACCCAGGTTTATGTGCTCCTGCTTGTACCTGGTCTTGATTTTAGCATTTTCCCCCCAGTATTAGGTGACAAGGATGAATGAAGGGTCAGCTTCAGTCCTGATCTTCCACAGTAATCTCAGTCCTAGTGTGTTGTATGTTTCATTTCATAAAAATCAGGCCATACTCAGTTTATCCATACTTGGTTTCCAGACTGCCTGTCGCTTTGGTGGTTTCAGTGTTGGCTGAGCCTAAGCTTACAAATGCATTCTCGGCTTGTTTTCAGATCAACTTTTATTAAGCCATATCCATAGCCCTTGGTGAAGACATTCCTGGCAGGTTTACCAAGATTGGCATACTTGGGTGGCACAGCCATCTTCTGCTCAGAGCCAGTGGTGGTAAGGTTGGCGGCAGCTGTGATGGGGGATTCATCAGTGAGGCATGGAGCGGAGTGAGCA